TTTTGAGTGCTTCTTAAACTATTAGGCACAAACGAGTGCATAGCGCACATCAGAGCAGAAGAGTCTACTGCGAAAGTATCCATATTTGACTGCGCACGTACATAAATATAATTCTAGAGGTGAACCAATGCCTTCAAACTGGACCTAAGTTAATGAAAAAGTGACTGCTAAAGGGCTACAAGAAAAGTTTGGAAATAAAAATATTTGCCTGTCGGCAACTTCAAATGGGTTTAGTATCTGTAATGGAGCATAGAGCTCGTGCGATGTCGCGGTACCATAATTCACGATAAAATTGAGTTTGAAGAGAGTTGTCAAAAGTTAAGTGTTGAAAACCCGTGTTTTCAGGAGAGTAGCGCCGAAAATCCATACAAAAAACACGGTCCAACGGCGCGATTTTTTGATTTCTTAAACTTTGGTAGGAGAAAAAGTACTCGTTGGAGAGCTCTCACCTTCTTCTTTAATCCAGGGGAACAAGAATCGCGGAAGGTGAAATTTGAAGAAAGTGTGGCCATTGAAAGCCAAAAAACATGGTCTTGCAAAAAAAGCGGCCAACGGGGCGATTTTTTGAAGAAAAGAGTATTTGCGAAAGCTGGAGCTTTTTTAAAGCGAGAGATTGCGATAGGATTCTGTTGTGCTCATAGTGGATGTGAAGATGCTGAATAATGCCCTAGTTGCGAAAAAGCAAAGGAATCCGTCAAAAACGCGCAAAATGGGACCACTTCCTCTGCCCGTTGACCTCCGATAATGGACGAGTTGGCAACCAACTAAGAGGTCGTCGGCACTCGTTAAACCATAGCTGCCATCATACCACCAGAGATCATACTTTGATTGACAAAGCATTCCATGAGAAAAAAATTGGATACGCGCTCGAAGTGGCATACCTTATCAGAATGATAATCGAACAGCGATCTGCTGAGGGGCGGAGCACAGGCGGAGGCGGAGCTCAGAAAGGATTGACAGCCCCAGGGCGCTGCAACGAGCGCACTTCTAGTCACAAAAAGGCCACATCTCGATTCCTTTGGGCTCTAGCTACTGCTTGAAGCGCTGCTCGTTCTTCCATTCTGCACAGAAATTTTATCGTAATTTCTCGCTTTAAGGAAGAAAACAGTTTTTCCTATCGGTCCTCATAAGTTCTTCTTTGAAAAAGTTACTACCTTCCAAAGGACGAACTGCGCATTACTGTGAATTCTTTGTTCTCCCCCATAATTGACGTAGTCTTAAAGATAAGGCATAATCGTGGTTTCCTCCTTAACAATCTGTTGTAGATGACAGATGCACATAGCGGTTTTGAGAATATTGAACAATATTACGCTCATTTGAATAGTCAATATCTGTTTCTCGCTGCCCGCGCTGCGGCCGAGGGGAAGATTGCGCGCGCTAATAACGCAACGCTCACCGTGCTCACACTCGGCACATCTGCTGTATTAATCTCATTTCTGAGATGCGCCTGCCACTCGTTTGAATACGAACTAGGTTATCGAAATGGAAATTTTTTTGTGATTCTGGAACGCCGTCAATGAAGGCAGGCAAGGGCCATTCAACTGAAGGGCAGTACTGTTTAGGCAACTAATGAAGGCAGTTTGTTTTGCCACGTTATGCATTAGTGAATTACCTGGATAACAGGAAACTAAAGCTCGTCTGCTAAATTGTGTTTGAATCTCAAGCCAAGTGCTTTAGGTGATAATACATACACTCCTTGTCGACTTCGGCTTAAGAATGAAAGCTTAAGGATGCTTTGTTGTGCATGGTGATTCCACACACGATTACGAAACTAGGAGCTTTTGATTATTGCAACATCCCACATCCTAAGATTAGTAGTTCTTTTTGGAAAGCCATAGGTAAACACTGTCATTAAATGAACACCCATCGTACCTACGCTGCTTTGCAGCGAAGAAAGCCGTGAAGTGAAAATTGACCTGACGAAACCAGAGACGCGCTCAATGCTGAAGATGTAAGTCATCCGACTATCAGCGGCATTTGCGGAGGAAACATCGCTGGTTACTTGTCTGCTCACTGCCGCAGTTGGTATCCACTCAGGCTGTAGTGGCTCTACGATAATGGCACTTCAATCCCGCCAATCTCTACCATTTCTCACTGTTTTTCCTCAGCTCCGTGGTTCCACCAAGCAGCTGAAGAGCTCTCCTTTTCAGCTTAACTTATATTCATGCAACATCCAGAGAATTCTTCACTGCTTGTGCGTGATCCATATTCGGAGAAATAAGCAAGAGTCGTGAAAAAATGTACGGAAGACTCTTTGCCTTCCATGGCGAAATCAATTTCATGCAAATAATCGGGGAAAAACCACGAACCTTGTGACTTACTTGAAATTGTTTCCCTCACTAAACCGATTTCGTGGGCCACTATACCAGACCAACATACAGTTTTCTCAAGATAGGAACACTCGTTTTTTCTTCAACATCTCTACAATGGCGAATGATCCCCACCAATTTTTTTCAGCAGTGCACTATTACACTAGGTACAGATATATTGAGCGAAATAAGGAAAAGAAAGTCAAAAAAAGAAAAAAAAAAGAATTTCTATGGTTTTCTTCCTAAAACTATGGAGTGCTAAGAGACATAGGGACATTTCGGCATCCGAGTTTTTTAAGCGATATACTATAACCAGTTTTGCTTCCCGCCCGCTATCGCACCGCATCACACACGACAGAAGGCTTTAGCGAAATTGAGACCCATGGAATTTCAGCATGAGTACTCCCATTAACGCAGCTCACTACTGAATGTGTTATACCTTTCCCAGTTCGCTTAAAGAAAGGATTGCACGGAAAGAACAAAGGTCGAAGAAGGGAGAACGAATCGCCCTAGTGGGGATATTGCGGTGAATCCTCTTGAGGCGACAGACACGGTTTATGCCCAGTGCGTCGCAAATCGGCAATCCGAAAGATTTGACCTCTGAGATCTGGCAATGCCTCAAAGTTGGCGAAGTTTCTGGCGAACTCCGCCCCCCGATCGGTCTGACCACTCGCCGTAGTTAATAGGTGGCGAGTGATTAGATAGCGAGAGAGCGTAGGTTGAAGAAAGGAAAGCGATGAGGAGTCCCATCCATGCTCAAACTCAACGGACAAGAAGGGTCCGGCATTTCTCCCGCGCTCTGGGCCGTTTTTCGTCCGGTTTACGCTTTCTTTCTGGTAATTTTGCTCTCACCATTCTACCGTCAATTTGGAATGGGTTGCTTTTCCATCGGTAAAATTCGTCCTTAAGTGCCAATCGAGAATACAGCTTGATAACACCGCTGGAGCTGACTGGTAGTATCTCACAATTGTAAACATCCAACATTCCTCGGAATTCGCACAAAATTTAGCGCTGAATAGGAACTTTCCTTGCCGTAGTCCCAAGAGATAATGAAATATGGTCTACTAATTTAGCATTAACGGGAAAAAAAAAGACCCTCGCTTCCCCAAAAAGCTTATGCATTTATTAACATTCACTCATTATTTTAGAACCCCGAAAGGATTAGTATAAGTTCCTCTATCAAGATCGATATATCTTGGGTTCTTTGTGCGGTCCAATCGACATATCGATTGGGCCGGCTAACGTCGAGCCATCTGATCGCGCGTGACTCTGGCGGCTTATAAAGGAGCTCACACCGAGGAGCCCACCAGTTCTTATTCTCGCCAGTTTCCTGGCCTCCATCTTCACTCCCTAACATCTCTCCCCATTGACCTCACATTACTTAGTTGATTGTTTGTTGCTTAATATTTGTATAACCCGTTATAACCCAAGTTTGAAGGTACCACTGACCACCACACATATTTTGGTGCATCGCGGACAGCTCGAACTCGAGGACAACTGAAAGCCACGGAATCGAGGAATCAGGATTCCGAGTTCCGTAAGTACAATCAAGATCCGTCTAAGGACTGGCTTATCGATCTGGACTTGCGTGCAACTGAGCGATAGCGACTCGGAAGCTGCGATATCGGCTCGACCGGACATAAAGTGGGTCCAGAGCAACTTTACTCGGCGAAAAAAATCTTCAACTGCTTCCAAAATCTTCATTTTTCGTTACAAAAATTATTTCATAAAATATTAATATATATATATATATACTGTCTGAAAAGAAAATACTCAACAGTCGATTGAAAATTTCTTTCAATAATGACCTCCTCGCTGGCTACTAGACAAGGACTTCTCACCCGTGCTCACAAACGGCTATACGTGATTTTGGACGAACACACACAGCTCTTCGCCACGCGACTGGACCTGAGCGAACCGAGGGATGCCAAGGAGCTGCACAGGAGGATTAGAGCGACCAAGGCCACATTGTCAATGGAAGTCGGTAAAGTCGAGGACGCTCTAATCAAGTACAGCAGTACTGTGGATGCCCGTCAGCACGCCATCAAAGGAGGAGTTCCTGAAGCGAGCAGAGGCGAACATCAACACTGTTGAAGAGATTTTGGATCGAGCCCATACTGCGCTGACGAAGCTGTTACAGCTGCAGGAAGAGCTGGAGGGTCAGATACGAGCCCAAACGACACCTTCGGAAGTTGCGGAAATGAAACTTGCGCCGATCCCGCCTCCCAGGTTCAGCGGCGACATCTGGGAATGGGACACATTTTGGAGATCTTTCGACCATAATGTGCACTCGAGAAATGTGGACGACATCTACAAGTTCAACTACCTCCTCGAAACCCTTGAAGGCGAGGCGAAAGAGACCGTAAAGCAATTCCAAGTTTTAGGATCCACATATTCTCTTGTCATCGCCCATTTACAGGAGAAGTACGGCAACGCACAGGCACTCGTCGATCAACTGGTGAGCAGGCTCCAAGCATCGCAGGCCAGGAGTGACAGCTTAGCCGATCAAATAGCGTTGTGCGACCAGCTCTCTTCTATCACCTCGCAGCTGGAACTGAAAGCACATTAGCAAGGCTTTCCTGCAGAAACAATCACTGAGCAAGTTCTCCACGGACGTCCAACGACACGTTTTACGGCAGAAGTGCAGAAAAGAAGCAGAGGGATCTTGGAGTACCAAGGTCCTACTAGCAGATGCAAAGGAATACGTCGAAAGTGAGCTCAAAATCAACGCCCAACTTGAACAGAGGAAGCCAAACCACACCGAAAGGCAGGAGAGATCCAGTACGAAGTTCAGAATGGAAACAAGACAAACAACGCGAGCACCAGCACTGCAACAAACCTGGACACCCACCGAAAAGTTGTCCTGAAGTGACCACGCTCAGTCAACGCCTTCAGATTATAAGGACCAGAAAACTTTGCAAAAATTGTGGAGGGGAGAATCACCTCGCAATGAGATGTCCCAGAGGAGCCTGCCGCGCCTGCGGAGTAACTGGACATCATACTTCCATCTGCACCAAACTATTCTCGACGGAGACACCTAGGACGCCCCAACAAGACAGAGCAACTAAGAAGATACCAGCCAGATCTCCATCACAGCCTACGGCTGCAAAGATGAATGCAGTCACGTCCGACCAAGGACTCCTAGAAGCCGAAGAAATGGATACTGTGCTCCATGTCAGCAATCGAGCGGACGTTCTCATTCTGGCAGGACAGGCACAGGTCCTCAATCCGGAAACGAAAAGGCTAGAGAAGGTGCACGTCATGCTTGATTCAGGAGCTGATCGCTCATTCATAAGCAATGCTCTAGCCGATAAATTACACCTACATGACGTCGATTCCAAACGACTCACAATAAACACGTTCGGTTCACACAAGGCAATGGTGAAAACGTGTGGATTTACAATTCTACAGATATGGGACGCACAAGGAACCCCTCACTCATTCGCGGTGACAAGGATCGACACAGTCACAGAGTCTATACAGCGCAGTAGCCTCAGTCTGGAGGACAAGCGGTTTCTCTGTGATAAGGATCTGCAACTGTCCATAAGCGCAACTTCAACTAGCATCAGTCCACAGATTCTTCTTGGATGCGCGGACATGTTCACACTTCTAAGCAATGGGCTAGCACCGCTGTACGTACTTCCTTCTGGGTTGCAGTTGATCCCTTCGAGATTGGGATATCTGGTTGCAGGACGCAACCACAGCTTTACAGAAACAATAAAGGAAGGAGGACGGACGGTGAAGTTCTGCATGCAGTCACAGACAATACATTTCCATGGGTAAGGACTTTTGTACATTTCGAAATCAAGGTCGTGATGAGTTTGTGGCGAAGGCGAAGGAAAACGGCCAACGGACGATGGAACGTGTCGCGTCTGAAGACGTGTCGAGCAGGACGACCGAAAAGAAGAGAAGATTTGTTAGTTGGGTTCCGCTCCCGCTGGCAGGAAAAAGAGGCGAGCATTACCGGAAATAGGAGGAGACTAAGCATACGTCAAGCCTGGCAAGCCACTTGCTAAATAGGTGACTGTGAGCTGTGACTCCAGGAGACCATGAAACGTGCAAAATCATCTCAATGAAGAAGTATAGAAGAAATGTGGACAAACAAAGCACCGGGAGGAGAGTCGGACTTACCTTTCCTCTCGTGCAGTCATTTTAACTCGCAGAGGAGACAACTAAATTGAGGAATGTATTTTCGATGCTTCGCGCAGCATCTTAAGGACGCTACCGTCGTCAACGAGTGTACATCGCATAGTGGGACCTTTTTGCTTCCGAATACTCTTGATATCTCCCGCTTCCCAATAGAGCGACTGTCCGTCTGTTGCAGTAGAAGTCGAAGAAGGCTTTCTTCAAAGGAAGACGCCTAAATGGCAGGACAGAGGGACCTCGAGTTTCTCTGAGGGGATAATATTACAAGCCAGCCTGCTTCGTCAAGGGCAACGGCATCACCTTCGGCTTTCAGCGCGTTACGTTCGTATATTGGCTCCATTTCCTGCTAGCGGTACGATCAAATATCTCTGGGCACTAACGCGTAGGAAAACCACAGAGGTCGTCGGAATTGACAACAACACTTAGTGGACAATGTTGCTGATGACCTGCAAAATCGAGCACAGAGTAGCGGCTACTTTCTACAGATAATCTCAAGGAAAAGTTTGTCGTACATAATGAATTCTCAGGTAAATCATGTCGAAATCCGGATGTCACCTTCAAGCAACAATATTGCTCCAAACTTTTGAGCGAAACATGGGAAGGCCAGAAATTTTGGATTATGTGGGATATCATAGGGACTCGTAAACCGGAAATTGTCGCAACCGCCAGAAAGAAGATCACTACGTAATCGTATCAATGGCATGGGCTGCGATCTACGATCCGCTGGCTGGCTGACACATAACTTCTCCATTGGAACGATTCCTACAAAGCAGCTGAGATGCAAATATAGCCGGAACAGGGCTCTGGAGGCAGAGTAAAGCAATCAAAAACCGTTGGGAGAGATCATTCACGCAGTCGAACGTGATCCCATATAGATACAGAGGAAAAGGTTATTACGAGCTTGTTGACGTGCGTTTGAAACTGTTCGTTATCTTGCTAGACGCGATGTAACATTGGAATGAGCATTTGCGTTACATGCGCATCGGATCCGGTCTACCTCGTGGCTGATATCCAAGCTACCTTCGGATGAAAGGAGAATCAACATACCGAAGTAGAAAGCTAAATGCGATGGACGATTGAAGTACGGATGGCATATTAACTTCTATTTATTGACGTGGCAGATCACAAGATCCCACGACTGACCAAATACAACATATGTGATATCTCTTCGGGCACTCTAGGAATCGCCCCTCAGTTGGATCCTTCAAATTCAGCTCAACATTCGTGGAGTTGCTCAGTGAGAAAAATCGCGGGCCATAGTAAAGAAGAATTGTCAGTGGCAATTATTCGCCAGTCTGTTAGTCACGTCATACTGCAATAAGCAAAAACGGGTCCGACTGTCGACGGAGGGTTAGTGACGAGCTAAAATGGAGTTCGGAAAATGCCACAGCTTGTAGTGGATAGGTTGACAACGTCATTTTTCCAATCGGATTTGAGTGATTGGGCCTGAGATAGTAGATTGTTCCCATTGGCCGAAGGAACTGCGATGGACGAAGTTCCTTGATGCTACACGTAAGCTAACATGCGGGTCATTTGTGATTACTTGACTTCGGCAACGGCACAGGCAACTTGCCCACGGTCGGACTGTCACACGCGAAGTGAGCTTACGGGTCTTTTTTCGCTTCATACAACAATCTATTCAATCGATGGTGAACGTCACCTGTTCGGAAGGAAATATCGAGATGAGCGTTACCCGACTCAATTCTTTGTAACAATTGTGCCCTCACATAACGCACTTACTGAAAGGAGAAAGATGGCCTGGCTACTTTGTCGCAAATCACCAGCGGTACGATCGGCGAGCAGGGAGCGAGGGCGCTCTGAAAAAGCTTAAATTGAAAGGAGGAGATGATCAAGGTCTGCATGGTGTCAACGGACGACTATTGGGGAGAAAACTCCAGGACTTTCATTTCGACGCAACAATACCATGTATTATAGACAGCAAAACCGATCTCGCTTCGCCTTCATTCCGGGGCATCACCCCCATACCTCTGACTGTGGTGCTGCAACCACATGGCGTAATAGTCAGAGAGAAATTCTGGATTCATGAAACTCAGACAGCTTTTGTCGATCAGTTCATTACCATATTGTGCTGCCAGAATATATGAAACACCACCATACAAGATATCGTAATAATGGGCATCATTCCGGCTGCGGCCGGGTACAAAGGACCGACTCTTTTGTGAACACATCCGCGGCGCGGACTATGTCGGACCTATTTGCGTAAAAAAAGTAATGGGATCGAGACCAGATTTGAATACTTATATGGGAGGATCCTGACATGTGCAGTGACGCGACTAGTTCATCTTGAGTAGTATCCGATTGAGCACGACTCATTCCTACTTGCTCTGCGACGCTTTTGCGCTAGGGCGGAGGAAAGATTCTGCAAGTAAATTTACGTGGATAAACCACAAATTCTTACTCGAGAGGAATCCTCAGGCAGACGCATATTTTCTGTGATAAACGAACATCTTGTTTGCGCATAGCAATGGCAGGAAAAGGAATCGTGTGGGAAGGACGAATCAACGCCCTACGCTTTCGGAAGGAGCTATATACGAGCGTCTGATAAAGTCAATCAAACACAGCCTTTACAAAGTCATGCAGCGGACCGTGCCCACACAGGAAGTTCTGGAAACCCTCCTGGTAGAAATAGAAGGCACCATAAACAGCAGACCTCTGACCTACCAGGAGGAGAAATGGGACGAGACACCTATTCTACGTCCAATTGACTTCATCCAACGCGACATGGTCATTACGTACCCGTTTGAAACTATTGGAGAAGAAGAAGCAGACGACAGGTATCAGCCATCTGAAGAAGCTGCCGTGCTGAAGACTCGTCGTCAGGCTGAAGACGCCCTCAAAAAGAGCCATCAGCTGACAGAACGCTTCTGGACTATTTGGAGCCAACAGTACTTAACAGGACTGCGAGAGTCGCATAAACTCCACATTGACAGCAAGCGCAGTACACCCAGGAGTCCCAGAGTGGGTCATGTTGTGCTAATTGCCGAAGCGGTTTTACCTCGGAACTCTTGGAGAATAGGGAGAGTCAGCAAGATCAACTACTCACAGAAAGGAGTCGTTCGAGAAGTGGAACTACGGATGCCGAACGGACGCACAATACGTCGGCCGGTGAATTTGCTGATACCACTGGAGATAGGAGACTCTGGTCAATCGCACACCGATGAATCAGATATGATTCCAGACTCAACAGATACCGGAGAGGTTTCCAACACAAATGAGGAACGAGAAAGGACCTGCTATAACCTGCGGTCAACGAGAAAAAATTTTCAGTCATCATGCAGTGAAGCGCCACCTACGCCGCCCTGACGCATGGAACTAGACTTCGACATATATTCAAAGAAAATATATACGTACAAAAAAAACTACAATTTGTTTTGTCTAACATCTACCACACTGCCTAACCTTGTATCTATGCATATTTTATTCAGCTATGGAGGAACCAGTCTCATTTCACGTTGCAACCAAGGTCGCCAAGGGACCAGAACCAACTCTCAAAGGGAAGAAGACGGCCCTCAATGCAACTCGCCCAGAACAATCCAGGCCTTCGGTGAAGACAACGAGTGATCCAGAATTTTCTTCTTTGTCACTAGATTTGTCACGTAAGAGATCCACTTCCTCAACATTTTCATCTGATGATCTTCCTCCTAAAATGCACCGCGCATCTGGTGCCATTCTGCTCCAGACGGGTAGTAGGATTCTTTGTCACGCGGCAAGTAAGGCTTGCCCCTGTAGTATCGGTTTCTTTGTCATCCGAGACAACCGAGCGCCTTCAGGAACTCGAGCAGGTTATCAGAGGATATCACGAGCAGAACATGAAAATACACAAATCAAATCAAGCAAAACTAGACAAGGTAGATATGAAAATCAATCTTCTTACAGCTCGCTTCTAAAATGGAAGAGCAGGTCAAGGACTACACCGAAGATGCCGACTCAGACGAGCATAAGAAGAAGGACCATGACTGGAATAAACTCTTCGACGAGTTCAAGCAACTGCGAGAACAAGTTTCTGCGATCAACCTCAAGCAGCTATCCGACGACATCAAGGGCCTCTGCGAACGCTTCGACGAATTGAACCTACGTCTACCCAGCGTCGATACATCGAAGACCATTGCGCCGGCGGAGCCCAGTTCAGAGCTGGAGAGGATCGTACGTCAAATGGATGAAACAAAAAAGGAGCTTCATAGTGTCCGAAAAGAAACCTTCGAAATCAATCTTCTCATCGAAAAGACATGGCAGAAGGACCGCAGTACGGACGCTATCGACCATTTGAAAGTGAAGCGACGTCGCCTACAGTCGAAGGAATCAAGATTGGAAGAGGAAATGCGGGACCTGGAAATGCGATTGGAACGAGAAAGGAACGGAAAACACCGCAACACCGAAGAAAAAGTTCGTTCAAGACGACACGACCAGCCACAGGAGGAACGAATTTAAAGAAATGTAAGCAGGGAGACGGCACGACGGCCGCGATCGCCGACGAGGAGAGGAACGTGAGTCGAAACAACGGCGGAACTCGTGCGACCATGACAAGGATAGGGACAACTCCCCGGCATAGTGCTAAGTACTCCGTGGCCGGGAGTATAGAGGTTCCTCTATCAAATCGATGTATCTTCAGGGTTCTTTGGTGGCGGTCCAATCGACATATCGCATTGGGTTGTTAACGTCGAGGCCACCTGATCGCGCGGAAATCTGGCGCTATATAAGGAGCTCACACCGAGGAGCCCACCAGTTGCTTATTCTCGCCAGTTTCTGCCTCCATCTCACTCCTAACATCACTCCCATTGATCTCACATTACTTGTTGATTGTTTTTTGATTAATATGTTGTATAAACGTTTAATTACCCAAGTTTGAGGTACCACTGGATCACCCACACATTATAATTAGCGGTTTATTGAGTTTGAGCTTCCTTGATAGAAATAAAACCTCTAATTTGCTGAAGACTTGGAGTTTATGCGATCGACTGCTATTAAAGGAATCTTCCACGGAAAGAGTGATCTTCTTGTCTTGTGTGTAGGATTAGTATTATCAAAACTAACGCTTATGTTGCGTTCTTTTTGCTATGCTTATGAGGCTAGTGACCTGAGGTATCGTTTTTCTGTGCTAATGGAGGCGGAGCTTTTTCCATGGAAGGTTCCTTTGAGTAAGGTGGTCATTCAATTGTACAATGTGCACGTACCACTACAAATAGAATTAGAAGAAAGTAGGGACACTCTCGTGTTAGCGCTAACGGGATCGACGACTTTTGCGTTTTGACGCGCCTTATCAGCCATGAGTTGTAACCACTTCCAATCACCCATCAACAATGTCCCCGTGCCACCCCTTATAACACTTGTAAGTAGGGACGCTCTAGTGACAGCGCAAGCTGGGTAACGGAAACGACGACTTTTTCGTTTTGACGCGCCTTATCAGCCATGAGTTGTAACCACTTCCAATCACCCATAAACATGTTCCCGTCCCACCCCTTATAACACTTGTAAGTATGGTTGCTTTGGTATCAATGCGAGCCAGGTAACAGAATCGACGACTTTTGCGTTCTGACGCGCCTTGTCAGCCCTTATCAGCTGCATACTTTCAATCACCCATCAACAATGTCCCCGTCTCCCTCCACATAACACTAGTCATTATGGACGCCCTAGTGTCAACGCACGTTGCGTGACGGAAGTGACGACTTTTGCGTTTTGACCCACCTTATCAGCCCTTCTCAATTGTTATCGCTTTCATTCATGTACCACCGATGTCCCGGGACCACCCTGCATAACACTTGTAGGTATAGACGATCTAATACCAATATGAACAACAAAACGAAATCATGCTCGCTTTCTAGCCCCTCTTATCAGCTATCATCAGTCGTTATCAGTTTCTATCATAAAGCACTTGCGTCCACATCCCACCGCCTATAACATAACATAAGAACCATGGCGCTATCATTGCTGTGACCTGTGCTACGAATTTCGCACACACACACAGACATACCTAGCGAATTATATATAGTAGGATGGAATCAACAACAATAACAATTAGAAACTGATAGCATTTTCTCTTCCTTCAATAGACTCAATCATCCGCTTCGGCATGCTGTGGAAAAGCCTGAGTTTTTGGCAAAATTGCTCCCGAGCCTCCTTGACGGCCATTTCAGCTGTTCTTCGTTCTCGCTGTCTGCTGTTGGCGTGAACGTCCCGTACGAGTATGCCCCATTCGTTCTTTATCGGACTAGGCCAGGAAATAATGCTGGCCTGCCGAGACTGAAGCTTCTCTTTTGAAATCACTCCACTGTTGAGGTATGTTCTACCATGAATGGCGGCGTTGTCTCGCTAGAGTTAAAACTCAATAGATAGAAATCGCTGCACGTGTGGACCAAATTGTTTTGGAGGATGTCCCTGTAGCAACTGGAGTTCAACCGTTGCGTGATAAAAATAAGTTCACTCCTAGAGTAGCTATGAAGGCAGCCCGGACCATGACGCTACCGCCACCAAATCCGCGTTTGAAAAAATAGCGTAACTACTTCTACAAGTCGCACCAATAGCTCGCCAAGCCATCGGGTCCATCCATCCTAAACTTGTGTTCATCCGAAAAAATTACCTGGAATACTGCAGTATGTGATAGTACGTGCAGAAACCGCCACTCCAAATTACCTCAATTATCCATTGATGAGTTCACCTTACGTACCCCTCTACGAAAAAGGATCATACGCACTCGTCAGACAAGGCGTCGAAAACTGCCTTCGGACAATGTGGGGACATCATTCGAGCACACGATGAACACTACCTTTCCGAACATCGCGAGCTACTTCCTTGCTTAGACCGCACACCATTTGTGAAAATTGTGGCATTAAAAATCTGGCGCTTTGCCTTTCCAAAACCTCTCTAGGCCTCCCGCTCCCTTTTTCGTACCGTGGGAGTTGATGTTGTTGCAGAATTTGCTCACCAAGTAGACTCATCGTCTTAATTTCCTTCAAGTGCTGCGTTAGCTTGTCTGTCTGTCCTTGTAAGCCCCAAGTTGGCGTTTCTCAGAGTCGGATAGGTGCGTTCTTCGTTGCATGGCACTGCAGATTAAGCGTGATAAGCGTGGTAAGTAGAACAGCGGCAAGTCGGTTTCACATCTCACCTAATTGACACATTGACGACAATGCGGGGGATATAGTATATTCCGCGCATTGCAGGCCATGTAGGACCGTGCAGGATATATATCACTCGCACCCATTACATTCATTTCTTTCGCACGCCTAATTCTTTTGAAAGTTTCTTGTATTCATTCCATGGAAGAGACCTTGATGACGCTACAAACATAATGGCCCTCAGAATGGTCACGTATACTTTAATTTAGAGGAGGATTTCTGAACCATACGAAATCTTCATCTCAAAAATTAAATTAAATTTTTTATTTACTTTTCCTTTTCATTAGTATAAAGATTAGAATAGTAGCAGAAGTAGATAAGGAAGCTTAGGGATGACAATATGTGTGTTTTGATTGGGATAATCAACTTAAAATTGCTTTTGAAGCCCATTGCAGCTAGTTCTGACCAACTTCGCTTTTTCATTGTTACTACTGTCTTTTGATCAAAATTCCACTACTGTACCCCTGGGTATGTTATGCTTATTACAATTTACTGATTTGGTTATGAACTGATCATTAGTTGTGTATTTATCACTCAAAATGTGCTTGAACGATCTGAGGTGAGCGCGCCCGCAAAATCGCAGCAGTCCCACGTGGCCAAAAAAGCCAAAACTCGCGTTGTCGTCAATGTGTTAAGGAACACTGCAGAAGAACCGTGTGTCGCTAACTTTTGGCCATGATTTTAGATCTAAATCATAAAAAAACGTCAAGATTAATTCTTTACGATTTTACTTATATGTTTGTACCCTGGTGTAATAGTGCATCGTTGATCAAATTTGAAGAGGAATCATTTGCCCATTATAGGGATATTGAAGAGAAATAGGGTGTTATAAATTCTTTTGGGACACACTGTGTTGTTGGAGTTTGCACCAACTCGTAATTTTTCTTTTCGCGACAGATAGCTTCCTTTGACTCCATCAAATTTCGAAAGAAGAATTTGTTCATGTTAGAATGTATTTCAGATTGTGGGCTTTGCTGACGCTAGGTTCGCTTGGCTAGGACGCAGACTTGTGTTCATTCTATCTATGGGCACTTGCATCATTGTTGTTGCTGCTCTGCTCTTACAAAATCTCGGTGGCATGAAGGTATGCATCATTCTTAGTCAGCGTGATGATAAAATTCATAGTGGCTGTAAAAGGCGATCGGGAGGAAGCGGGAAACGATATGATACCTTTTTGAAAGTAACTCTATCACTTCATTACAGTTTGATCTTTCCAAAGTTGCCATGCAGACTGGTACTCTAGCAACGTCTCACTGACCGGTCGGCGCACTCATTCGTGTTCCGCGGGTGAGGGGATATGTCTGGAAGTTCAGGAATAGACTCAACCTCGGGGAAATATTCCCAACTTTTGGGACATGTCCCCATCCCCGGCATTCAGCAAGAGATCGCTGAAGGGTCTCGTCGCAGGGCCCATCATTTTCGATGTGACCATTCGATCACTGCCGTCGATCCTCTTCGTCTCTATATCCGGTCTACGGGCAACTTGAACGAAGTCCTTTAAACCGCCTTAATTCGATCTCGCCGATTACGGGCGTCCTCCTCCCTCTAAGGCATAGTCCTAAGGCTTTCACCTTCTTGCTTGAGGCTTGCAGCAGAGCCGAGTGTCGTTCTCTAATCGTCTGTGCTCTGGCCTTTCGCGGAAGAGAGAACAGGAGAGAGTTTGAGTAGTCACGCAATCTACTAGAGCGCGGGAGCCCTTGTCCTCAGAACTTGATTAACTTGAAGGTACTCTCTCAATCTTTTCTTGCAAAAAAATTGAACAACTGCGAGTACCGGAAAGATTTTAAAAGGTATAATTCACCCACGGTACGTTCGCCGTAACTATGCGGGTAAATTTTTGGCCACATTTCTGGACAATTTTATAAAGGTTTAATCTTTATGTCAGCTCCGTCCCATTTCGGAACTAACGAAACATTGATCCTTAAACGTTAATAGTTCGAACCGAACTTTTAACCAGTTAATGAGTTTACGAAGTGCTAATCGTAAACTTTTTATGTAATGAGCTTCCTCAAATGACTACTTTTTGATAGTGACAATCAATTAAAAGAAGTTAGTAAACGAATACAGGGAAGAAAGCAGAGAGGGGGCATTCTACAGCATTTGCTGACCAAAAGTTTCAAAGGTTACCTTTCTTGTCACAAACTCAATGCTACGAGTTACTACTACAATTGCTTTTAAAGGAATCTTGCGCGGAAAAATCATGATTCTATTTCAGCCATAAATTCACTGGCTTGAGACTCAGTTATCCACGGATAATTGTGAAAAGAACGAAGTATTGCTTCCGTTTGATTAAGAAATTGATAAACTCGAAAAAGGCTG